AAAAAAAAAAAAAAAAAAAAAAAAAAAAAAAAGGAAGAAGAAGAAAAAGAGAGAAAGTGCTGCATAGCAACTGAATGGAGATGGTTGGAGAAGGGGATTTGCATTTGCCGGGAGGTTTGGTTCTGCTCTCTTGTGGGCTGGGGTTTGCTGCTGTACTCTGCTCAAGTGAGTTCTTCAGGCATTGGTTTCCTGCTTGTAAAATGGGCATGGTGCTGATGTAGCACTCATATAAAATGCTCAGCCAGCCTTAGGAGGAAAAAGGAAAAGCAAAAAAAAGCCATATTAAACATGAAAAGATAAGACTGTCTGTAATAATTCCAGTTACCATCTTTCCTCCTCCTTGCACCTACAATCAGCTGAGCTGAATGACATGCACTTAGCAGCATGCTGGTTTCTGCTCTGCTGCATTGTGGACCCATCCCACAGTGCCCCAGGCCCCAGTGCTGAGCAGGAGGGGCTCTGCCACACGTTGCCATGGGATGAAGATGAGCAATCCGCAATGGAGGTGTGTGTGGGACTGCTGCTGCTTTCTCTGGAGAAACGCAATTGGGGGGACTGGTGTGTGGGCTCCATTAGAGAAAATAGCTCATTTAGAGGGAATCACATCTCTATCCTCTACAGAGCCATTTCCTAGCCATTTGGAAACAGGTCAGACTATATACTCTGATTTTACGTAAGCCCTACACCAATCAGAGTGTTTTTCAGTAACAGTTTGCTGGCTGTCTAAGCACAGAACGTGGGCTTTGCACTTCAAATGTGCCTCTGAAGTATGTGTGATGTGTTGGTAAAAATAAAACTGCTCCATGCCGAGTGGAAAATGTGGAAGTGGAGCAATCCGTGCAGGGGAAAGCTTGCTGGGCATACACAGAGAACTCTGCAAAGGGGTTGATCACCCCACACCTTTCCCAGGGCATATGTGCAATATGGGCCCTACGAAGGAAGCAGGAGGGCTGAAGGGAGGCAGCAGGGTTAGACCTAAACTGGGAATGGCAAGTTAAAAGCACGGTGACAGCCTGGACAAGTGAAAGTACTTCTTGGAATACACTGGAAAGATTTATTCACCACAACATGTGCTCTGCCAGGTCCAGGACTCTGACCTGGGGGCTTGGAAGTAGCAGGGGATGTGCTTAGTGGGAAAGACACTGCCTTAGTGGGGCTGATGACAATGCACAGGAGACACATTAACAGGGAAATCTGAAGGGGAACTTCACTGTCTTTGAACTGGAGGAATATCTATCTGTCCATACAACATGCTAAGTCTTGGTGTTGTCTGAGGACTTGCCTCTCACTGCAGTTGTCCAAGAGTGAGGAAGAGCAATGGGCAATGACCTTGATGTCTGTTGCTCCTGAGAGCTGAGGGTGTGGTCATGGTACTGAGGGCAGCTTGGTCAGGAGGCAGCCGCTTTCCCAGCCCTTGTGGCTTCAGGAAAATGACAGGGCATGGCCTGGCTTTTCTTTGTGATCAGAGGGAAGGATGAATCTCTCTCCTTCCTCCCACTGCCTCCGCAATGGAGCAGAATCACAGCAATTTCCCCCAATAGGAAGGATGAGTGGGTTTTCAGAAGTGGAATCATGCACTATTATGGCTGCTACTACATCAGCATCTCCACCTGTCGGGCTATTTTGTCTAGATATCTCCCAGAAATTAAATCATCCAGCCATGCTTTAAGACTTCACAAATTTTAGAATAGCTGATGCCACCAACCTGCTCTGCGTGATTCCATTCAGGAGCCACAAATCCCAAGGTGATGCTACATACATGTAGCTTCATGGAGGTTCCCCTTTCCTTCTGCCCTGGTTCAGCAATCTGGACCCAAGCTGTTCCTCACTGCCTCTTGGCACATTTGGTGTTCAGTGCTGCACATTCATTCTGTGTTTCTGTGGTGTGTTTTGATGAGGGACCTTTTGATGAAGGACCACGGGCAAGAAGGACCACTCTGACCCTATAGGCAAGAGCTGAGTACCAGCTTTGGCTGAGGAGCACAAATGGCCAAGGCTTGTATGGACCATTCAGCAGAGATATGTCCAGAACGACAGTCCCAAAAAGTTGGTTACGAGTTAGAGCACAGCTCACAAAATAGCAGATCAGCTTCAGTTTTGGATAATTGGTGACAATTCAGGCTTCCAAAAAGCCCCAATGATTCTCAGCCTTGCTCTTAATCCGCTTTCCTCTCTCCATGTATCTAAAAAAAAAAAAGGAGGGATGAAATTGATTTCTTTTTATTGAAAAAGGTTTTGAGATAATTGGTCTATGATTTTTTCTCACCAGATTCATAGCTTATTGCTCCTGACTGAAAGAAGCAGGATCAGATATCTAAGTACATATCGTGGCTTGCTATGCTGGTGCGTATTGTGGAGCACAAGCAGCTATATTCCATTTTACCACACTAATAAAGAAGGTACAGACAAAAAAGAAGGTATAGAAACTGAGTACCTGCCAACTGACCAACAATATTTCATTTACAGCTGAAAAGCAATGTAGAAAAGTTGGCACAATAATTGCAGCACTCTCTGGACCAATGATAACAATCCATAAGAGACAGAGGCCTCACGGTGTGTGATGCTGTGAACTGCTGCAGCCCCCAGCACCCCCTGTCCTTTGCTGAATAAGCATTGGGCCAAAGGGCTTTGCCCACAGGCCTGGGCTTGGTGAACAGTGTTTCACCCTTGATCTGTGCACAGCACTCCCATTAATATGTATCTGTCCAGGAAATTGCACAAGGTTATTTAATAGTTCAGCCCACGTTACTGGGAAGTGGTAATAAATTCTTAAAGCTAGAATATTTCTCTTGTGAGATATTTGGCTCTTTTCCCTTTACTGAAAACATCCTTTGCTCGGGTTGCAAATGGTCATGGTAAACATTGCATCTCCTCTCACGATGTTAAGCCAGTATCAGCAAATATTGCTGCTCAGCTCAGCTCAGCTATGGGAAGAGGAAGCCGAGCCCTGCTTGCTAGGTGGATCACAGCACCCTTCCTGCAGCTGATATCCCCTGTCCCACCGCAAACAAACCCCACATCAGGACCACAAAAGGTCCTGCCTATTGCAAAGCCTTCCAGAAGCCTTTAGGAAAAGGTTTCAGCTGAACCACGCTCAGCAGGCAGATTTGCCACTCACATCTTTTCTAAAATGAAGACGACCTAATAGATCCTTAATTCCGGGAGGCAGAACTGGCAAGAGCCCAAGGAATGCAGATATGATGGAGAAATCACAGCAACAGCAGCTCTGCATTGGCAATCCCTAGGATTTGCAGCAGCTGGGGATGTGTTGCAGGCACCTCAGAACGGATGTGATCATGCTGGTTTGGGTGAAAGTGGGTGGGTTGCTTTCAGCTGCTGGGAGAAAAAGACCTGCTAAAGGACTGTTCTGTGGTTTTCCTGCAACAAAAATAAAGGTTCTGGCTTTTATTTAGTGTGAGACTGAGACAGAGTGCCTTCTCTGTGCAAGGGGCTTCCCAGCTCTTGGCTGTGTTGTGTTGTTAAGGACAGCTTTGAGACACAGCTGGTGCTTCTGGGGTGAACCCAGGCAAGTGGGTTTGGCTGCATTTTCACTGAAATAGGAACCAGCAAGTGCAGCCCTTATTTCTTCTTAAAAGGCAATATAGAAGGTCAGCTTTGGAGATTTGATATTTTTTCCAACACAGAGCAAATGGATGCAGATGGAGGATAACCCCTGGAGTACCTCTAATACTAAAATAGGATGTGCCTGTCTCATGTCAGTGATCTTGGCATAGAAGAGCCCACTGAGATTTATGGGCTTTTGGTAGGAGGCAGGGGCTGGTGCTAATTTGGGCTTGTACCTTGAAGATAAAATATGCATCTGGTTGTTGAGATGCTTGCTAATTTTAACTCTGGTTCTGAATAACGGAATAGTATTATTAGTCTGATGTAAAACTGCCCATATTTTGTATGCAAAATTGCTGTCTCTGTAGTGAAAGAGTCTGCTTTGATTTGCCCAGATACTAAGGAACAGCAGACAATAAATATGCATGCAATTAGGCTAATTTCAATAAATAAATAGAGGTATTGCCTAATATATCTAAAATTCCAAGAAGCCATGCATAATATGCAATGGATTGTTTTCCCCATCCTTTGATTGTTTCAGGGATCTCTGAGCAAGCTTGCTTAGAAGATGTTAGAGTCCATTTACTTTTGTTAATGGGAGGCTCAGATACAAAAGCTGGTGAAATAGAAGCAAGATCTGAAGCAGAACTGAGTCATTTTAACCTGGGTAATGAGCTGTCTTGCTGCCTGCATCATCCTCTTGCATGGTGAGGGGAAAACACTGCAGGAAATTGGCACTTCCATGCACATAACACTGCATTCCACCCTTTGCTTTTTGTGCCCTCCCTTGTCTTTACCATCCTGTTAATTCAGTCACCAGATCCCAAGTTTCTCAAGGCCCTTCTGGAGTGAAGCTCTGCCATCTCTGCCAAATGGAGATGGAACTCATCGCTTCTAATCTGTTACCATCTATAAATGTGCTGAAAGTGACCTCTGTGTCACCAGCTTGGTGACTGATGGAAATACTGAACAATATCAGCTCTTGTGTCATTCCCTGAGGTCCTCTGTTCGTTACTGGCAGCCAGATGGCCCATCACAACATTGGTTATTATTCTTTGACCTAAAGGTCCATCTGATGTTCCGTTTATCTAACAGTTTATTCATCCAACCTATACTTACTGAGTTTTTACAAAGCGTCCAGTTGTCCAAGCTGTCCTTGTGAGCTTCTGAAGATGGGCAGCAGCCATATAGTCACATCAGCATCCTTTGGTGAATTCCATCTTGTCCCATGGATGTGAATAACTTGTGGCTTCTCTTGGTAGACCCTCACTTGTTGCTCCTGCTGTTTGTCATCGCTTTCCTTCACAAATCGTTTTGGGTACATGAAGAG